AAATTAATTGTCATTTTTTCATTTTTAAGGTAAATAAATATTTTTTCCTACTTTAACCCTATCATTATCAATTTACTTTAATTAATTAATCATCTAATCACAAAATTTTTTATTATTTATTTATTATTTAAGAGTATTATAAATAAATACAAATATTATCCTTAAATTGTTAATTTAAAAAAAATAGTAAAAAACAATAACTATTTTAGAAAGAGAGAGTGAGAAACAAGGTGGATATATACTGTCCCCAATAATAATGATAAGGGTGAATATATATACTTGGGAGTCATCTGATTTGCCATCTCCGATCGCTCCATAATTTATCACATTAAAGTCTTGAGAAGAAACCAACGTAGCGAGGCAAAAAATTATTGAAATGATGTTCAAAAGATCCTGCAAAATCAAGAATATTTAAGTACACGTTCATAGAATAAATTAACGGAGGAAACGCTATACTTAATTATTGACGAACAAAACCTTTTTTTTTTTTTTTTCATTTGCTAAAGCACGTAGCTAAACTTAAGGAGAAAATTATTCCTACCATGCTGAAAGAAGTTCTGACCATAGATCGTAGATCACAAAATTCAATGTTAATTAGTGTAGCTTGGCAGCTTATTCCTTATATACATGTTTTTTTGGTTTACCAATTTTCCCTATTGAATCTGTAATCTGACAAATTAAGAATGTAATCTGACAAGTTAAGAATGTAATTTGATAGTATAGTATATATCTTCCAGGTTTCTCTTTTGGATTCTCAACCTTCATCATCAAATTTGGAATGGGAATGAATGAGTTTGACACTTTTAGTAGCAATACAAGAAAATAGATATTTTGTGATGGTAGAATTGCTCACAAAATCTCAAATTTTAGACATAAATTTAATTTGTGAAAAAAATAAAAATTTTTGTAACTAATTCTCCGTCACAAAATATCTACTTTCTTGTAGTGTAGGTTCCCATTTAATCCCAACCTTTATCACAAATACAAGGTTCCAGCCTTTCATTTGGACTAAAAATAGTTCTCAACATTTTCGAAATCACTAGATTTAGTCGCTCCCATTAAATCTCTAACAAAACTAATTTCTCTTTTAATTTTCATTCTTTCAAATTTATTTTTGCTAAATTCTATATCCCCAAGCGAATTGAATTCGGTGATTTTGAGTTAGGGTTTTCTAAAACAACTCTTTTTACTGGTAATCCAAGAATGTGTCCTCAATGAAGGCAACTTGGGCTATGATATACAGATAGCCTTTTTATTTTATTTTTTTATACAATTTCTTTATATCATTAAATGAGTAAATACATTTAATATTACATGTCTCAAATAAATTAAAAGAGTTAATCATTTATTTTAATGATACGTAAAGTTGTACAAAAAAATGATATAAAAAAGTTGTCCCTAAATCATTTTCCAAGGCAACTTAGTGTGGCTTGCACAAAATAAGCTAAGTTAAAAGAGAATCACTTAAAACTTTTCCATTTCAATTATGTTTTATAATTCTAATTCTTTGACTCCTAAATCCGGGATCTAAGGATGTTAAAAAAAAAAGGGTGAGATGAAAATATAGGTTTATGTCGGTTTTCTTTTTCTTTATTTAAGGATTGTGGGTTCTACAAAATTTCAATTAAGGATTTCCATTAGGAATTGAGGTCCCGTTTAGTATAGCGGTTTTGGAGTAGTGGTTATTGGTTTTACCTAAACCGTTAAATATAGATGTTTGGTAAACTTATATATTTTGAAACCGCTACAAATAACGTGTTTGGTAAAATTTTTATTTAGCGGTTTGAGAATAGCGGATAGCGGTTAGAGTCCAAACCACTAACGGATTGAAAAAACTAGTTTATGTAGCTTCTTGTACCAAATCGTTAGCGAATTAGAGTTTTTTAATTTTATTGACCAATTTATCCATTTTAATTTTTTAATTTTTGGTCACATTTTTTAATTAATATTTATCTAATAAATTTCAATTTTGTTTTTACCTTTAATAACATTAAGTAATTATAATATTTTTTT